GGCTTGGCAGCCCCCGGCCGACGAGGGCTGCCCTGCGGGGCCTTCCTCCGGTCCCCCTCCTGCCCCCTGGCTCTGCCTTGCGAGGAGCGAGGGGCTGCGGTGGACCCCAGCCCTACAGCCCCTGGATGGTCCCCGAATGCCAAAAGGGGGTTTTCTCCGCGTGGGAGCATCCAAGGGTTTGTGAAGTACCGTCACCTGGCATGTTTTTCTGAGGCTGAAAGCCTGGCTGTGCGCGGCGTGGGCACATCCCTTTCCCTCCGCTCCTGTCTTCACCTAGGAACTCCCTTCAAGAATTATGTTTGTGTTGATTTACCGCAAAGGGGAAGACAACAGGCAAAGGCACTGGGATCACAACGTGGCTTCAGTGCAATTTGGATAGTTCTTGGATTTTTAGTAATATTATTTATGAGATTATTATTGAAAAGAGTAGGCCTGTGTAGTATCATTTCGTGGTAAACCACATTCATTAATCAGCTACTGAATATATCTGCTTATAGAGATGTTTTATGGGAATCTAGCCTTAGCCATGATGACTTATGCAAACTGCAGGATCCCTGCATGTCCAGTGTCCAGACTGGGCTTCCCGGAGGTCTGGGTCACTGCTTGTGGCATAGGAAAGAAACGGGACGTGCAGCATTGCCCTGGGGAAGGCACAGGGTTGTTGTCCGGCACTGAAGCCAGTGCCAGCTCCTTCGGAGGAGGTTTCAAGATCCTTTCCAGCGGGTCAGGCTGATGGATGTAATCTCTCTGCAGGTTAGCTTATCTGTTACTTAAAGTTGTTTCATACCTGGAAAATAAATGCTCTGAATGTCCAATATCACTTATGGAAGGGCTTCAAAGTAGTTTATTTTGTACAGCTCCACATATTCTTGCCATTTATTATCTGTGTCCAACTCATTCCTTTAAACAATAAATCTGTAAGCTCTTGGCCTCAGTCAGCTTCCGTGGCACTAAGCCCCACCGATGACTTATGGTGCCCATTTTAAGCCCATTTTTGCCAAGTGCTGAGGATTGCCAGAGACTGTAGTTGTTGCCACTTGCAAGAGATGTCACTTCCAGGTCCCAGTGCTGGTCCCACCACCCTCTGTCCCCAAACTCCTCTTCAGTGGAAGGGGACCTACCAGCACGTTTGCTCTAACCCTGAATGGCCTGGCTATTCAACAGGTCTTTGTAAAATGGACAAGCGTGTGCTTTGTTTTTCTCTTTCCTTTGTTCACCGCTTCTCATTTTTTGGAATCACTGACGTCCCTTCAGGTGGATCTCAGCATGATCAGAAGACAATTTCCCGGCTCCATAAATTCCTGGTAGCCCTGTACACTGCTTTCCACAGACCCAGCTGGCTGGGCTGTGTGGAAGCAAGGACCCAAATCTGAACAGACTCTGCTTAGACTAGAGATAATAACCATTTTCAGTGGTGGAGGATGAGACATTTCCAACAGAAATCTCCTCCTTTTTTTCACGAGAAATGTTTGCTTGTTTGTTTCCAGCCCACAGGAAATCAGGAGGAAAAACATACTGTTTTTTCTCTTTCCTTTGTTCACCGCTTCTCATTTTTTGGAATCACTGACGTCCCTTCAGGTGGATCTCAGCATGATCAGAAGACAATTTCAAATCAAAGCTCAATCCAGGAAAAACATACTGTTTTTCCTGGATTGAGCTTTGATTTGAAACGAGGCTTTATGAGGCCTTCCTATTTCCATTTTTAATCACCCTTGGCGAGCTCATTTACTATAAATTTGAAACGATTGGAGATCATGTAAACAAAACCAGCCTAAGCCTGCAGCCCTAAGCAATTGTGATTGCCCTCGTTCTGATCCCTTGGCAAGGCAAAGCGCTGGAGCGCGAGGCTGCCGTCGGTGCTCCTCGCTGCAAACTTGGGTACAGCTTTCCTGGCCTGTGGAGCGGAATGCCGTTTGCAGTTGCTGTGGTTTAGCAGGGCCCATACACCGAGGCGGGCTGGGTGTGAGCTGCATGGGTGGCTGCTGCGGGCAGGAAACCTGCTGCATTCGCGGGGTCCGGATGATTTTCATCTGAAGTGTTCAAATTCTGGCAAAGCCTACGCAGGAAAAGCAGCTTTGGGTGTCTGTGCCAGTATGTTCAAGGAGTAACGGGGATGGAGGAGGAAGTCCTTGTGGGTCTGTCCCCATGGGGGATGTCAGGAGTCCCTGTAGTCTTAGGTGGCCGCTGAGGGCAGGGAGACCTTGCAGCTTTGCCTTCCTGGGCTGGCCCCGCTTCGCTTGCATCACCCTTTGGGAGGGATAGGGCTGGCTCTGAAAGGCGGGTTTGGGCAGCCATTGGGTAGCGGGATTTTGTGTCAGGCTGCCCCGGGTGCGGTTGCCTTCCCCAGCTGTCAAGGCACACATCACCCGGCCCCGCAGAAGGGGACGGTGCCTGCAGGGGAGGGCCCACGCTCCCCAGAGCTTGCAGCCAGCAGGTAAGGATGCTGAGACCCCCCGGAAAAGGCAGGGGGCTGGAGGGTTTGGGCATCCTCTAGGATAAAGCCCTGAGCAACCTGGTCCAACTTGGGTGAACGCCCAGCAGGACAGCACTCTTAAAGTACAATGATGTTTTAAGGTACATTTTTATTGTTTTAAAGGGAGCACAGGCTTTTCAGCTCCCACAAATTCATCAAGTGGCATGGACAGTTAAGCTGCCTTAAACCCCTGAAAGTGGCGTAAACGTTTAAGCCACCTTAGATGCTTAAAGCAATATAAGCTGTTAAAACGCCTTTAATCCTAAAGTGCTTAAATCACCTTAAATCTTGGGAGTTAGGTGAGAGAAAGAGCTGCCTGGGAAAAAATGACCCCAACCTCAGCCCGCCTACAGCAGGTTGGTTTCCCACCACGGAAAATGAGAAGACTAGGACTGGTTATCGGCCACGCTGAGAGAAGTTATTTGTGGAGAGAGACATGCAACCGTGGAAGGTGGGCAAGCCTTACCCAGCATGAAGCACCCACCTCTCCCGAGTGGCTAGATGCTGCTTTCACCCCTGAAGTGGGTCCAGTGCCACTGGCCACTCACTGGTGGGAGTAGCCAGGCCAAGCAGGTTAGGGATATGCTGACCTCAGGGGCTCTGTAAGTATAGACATGGGCCTCGAGGAATTACCCTTTGGTTAGTACTATTGTAGAGGAATGAGAAAGCTTTGGCTTTTTAGCTCAGTCTCTTCAGCCCATATGGCAGTGGTCAGGACAAAACTGGCTTTCTCCCCATGATGAAAAAAATCGGATGAAAATGTCTGCTTACCTTAAAAAACATGTTCCAGCATCACACTACCAAAATATTGTTACTATTTGAATCTTGCAATTGCATTTGGTAGGGAAAAAATAGGATTGCACAGGTTTTGACGGGAGGCAGCTCAGCAACAGATCCCTCCTGACTCTGTTTCGGTGGCTGATAAGGTGGAATTTAACATTTTCCAGATCTGGGACTGGGCAGAGGTCTTGTTTTCTGTTACCACAACATTTAAAAGCTCCGTTGTCAAAAACTGCATGCGCTGGAGATATATCTTTCCATCCCCCCTCCCTGTTCTGAAAGGAACCCTACAAAATCATGTATCCTTTGTTTTTGCTTTCCATTTGCAACGCTCGCTTGAAACGCAGCAGCAAACGCCTGGTGCGAGCGAGAGGCTCGCGCTCGCAGGGTGCTAAGCCTGTGCCCCAGCGGCACAGGGTGCTGCTCAGGAGGAAAAATCATCATCTTTGGGCTACGGAAGAAGAACCTCTTGGTGGCGCTTGTGCACACCATGTCGGTTTTTTTCTTTGCCCAGTGGCACCGGGTGTCGATCTTCCAACGCGCCGTATTTCTGCGCGCTGCCGTTCTTCTCCAGAAAGGCTGCGTTTGGGGACTGAAACTCTAGACCACCTTTAATCAGGGTGGGATGTCACAAAGGGGAAAGATCAAACCGGGGCTGATTACTTTCAAATGGAGACAAAACCAAGTCACAAGGAGTGTTCTGGTTTTGTGGTTGGTTTTTTTTTAGTTTTATTTTAGTGGTCATTCTCTCAGTAGTTTCTCTGCATTTAGCATCTTAAAATTT